TACAGTCAGTGTAATTACTTTACTGTGTCAAATCTGTTCTCAATATGAATAAAGTGGAGATTTTTTAAATATTCATTTTTAGTATTTATTACAATGCACATTTAAATGAATCTTTTTCCTACTTTTTGTTTATTTATTTGTTCACACTGCTTACATGTGAGACACATATCTGGGTGTGTTTGGTTGCCAACCGGGTGATGTGATTCAAATGTCATTGTGTTTTCAAATGCAGTGACAATAAAGGCTTTGAAATGAATTGATACATATCCCTGAACAGGGTCCATTATCCATATCACAGTGGGAGACATCCAAGAAAGAGTCAAGCATGAAGAGTTGGATAGCACCAGGTGCAGATATGATCCACACCTACAGGCTTAAGAAGCTAACTGTGCTTCATGAGTGCCTGGCAGCATAAATGAACCAGCTGCTAATGGATGAGACACAAACAGAATGGCTAACTGAAGGCCGGAAAGTCCCGACACTCAAGGATTCCCAGAATGGACTGGCCCTATCCAACTACCAGCCATGAACCTACCTCATCGAACATCTCAGACATCATAGCAGCGTTGCATGTGCGTTGCATTACTGCAGACACAGTAATCCAACAACATTTCTATACTACATATTGTTATAGCATCCCAATTATAGCATGGCATCTAGGTTTTGTATGAAAAACATAGCACAGCAGGCCTGTAGCAATTTTGATATAGAAGCCAAACCACATTACTACGCATCTATAGTCATTGTGTGATGCATGCTAACCTAAAAAGAGGATTTTAATTCCTCAAACAAAAAGCACCTGCCAAATATTCAATACATTTTTCTGCCCACTACAAACCCAGGAACATTATTTACCATTTAAATTATAAGAATCTGTTGCAGTCAATACCATTTTTTATACTGGAAGTTTAGAAAACGTTTTCAAATAAACTAAGACCCATCCTAGAATCTACTATCCAGATTTCCTTAAGAATCAAGTACCAAAACGATAGGGTCCACAGAATAAAAATATTCCACTTCCACACTAATTACCACACCACTTGCTGAGATTTTTTGCCATATTGAGGAGTTGTTTTCTCTAAGTGCTACCAGATCTCAACATACAAATACAATACTGTCACTAATTAACACGGTGGCTAAAACAGAGGAAAAGAATTCACAGCCATTGCAGTGCATGAGTATACAACAACTCACATTTTCAAGGGATTCATCTAGAATGATTGCACCATAAGTGGGTACACCCATTTTGTACTCCTTCCACTGCTCAAGAACTTTCTGCACATCCTCTCCGTGAGGCAACAGAAACGGACAGTGATGGAACAGTTTGCAGCAGTCAAGAAAAATTATCTCTGCTAAAATGAAGTAACATAAACAGCAACTACACCTCATTTGATCATCTGAAGAGGTGCTGGACAACTACACTGCCTATTGTCATTATAAAAAATGCCTTCAAAAGTAATACACATTATAAAAAACAGATTTTTTTTTTAAATCACAAGTTATTTAAAATCTCTGTAACATGTAAGGATATCAGCTTTGGCAAAGTCTCTTATCCCGCAGTGAGGAATTCCTGGAGTGTTTTGCATGCAGAAGTCCAGGTAGAACCAGTGGGCTAGCTCAATCTGGAAGCAAACTCGGATAGCATTGTCCCTTTCCTCACTGGGGATGTGCAGGATGAACCGGCTGGGGAAGCACAAATAAAGAAATGGGATTAGGACCAGAAACTGTATGTAGAGCTTCTCCTTTCACAGTACTGTCATTATACTTTGTGTTGCTCTGCAACTCAATGTTTGTACTGTGTCTTGTTACTTCATGTTGCGTTTTTTCCATTTTAAAGCTTAAAGGAAGGACATTAACCAGATTCTAACAAATTAACTGCAGACAAACAGTTTGCATGGGAAAATGAGAAAAACTTTGCTAATGCTGAGAGGTGCTTTCTTTGTGATTCTTGTAAACAACACTGAACATATATTACCAAAACCTTCCTTGACAAAGGGCTATTTAATTCTAATGCTGTTTTTGTTTGTTGAGCATCTGGTTATATTTAGGGAGTTAGGCATTCAAGTGTGATATGACTGGAGTCCATCTTAAGACATATGTATCCATATTTGGCTGTATAATCAACCAAATATACTTAACAGCTTTGCTTTGCTGTTAAGTAAATGTGTTTCAGTCTGTGTATCTACTGGATCAGTGCTAGTAGCAATGTTCCTCCAGTTAACAGTTAAAAGCTTCTTGGCGAACAATAGGAACATGTACTCTTTTCTTACAGCATTTTACTCTAAGCACCAACACCGTTGGGTCTGTAGAATAATAAGATTCTCCCCTTTCATATCCTGCCAATACCCCAGGCCCTCTCCTCAGTCATCAGATTTAATTAAAGCTCCCACTTTTTTTTTTATACTGAGTTTAGTGCCATGTCATTTACTAGTGTCCTATAGATGTGTGAGATACGAATCCAAGTCGTCAGATGTTTTTCAGTTACCGTAATAACATATTAGTCAATACTCGTTCATCTTTTCAAGCTTTCCCACTCACAGTGGGAAAGGGTGTAGTGCCTTAGATATAGGTAGCAAATCAAAACTTATGGGAGACGTGCAAATTGGTATTGTAATTGAGCAAATGACATTATTACCACGAAGTCAAAGTTATTGTATTCAAGCCTTTATTGTTTGAATCCATTACCCTACGACGATAGGTTGAAACTGATGTTACCAGCCACTGGATTAACTCGTGATACAGTGCTTCGCCCACGCTCCTTCTAAAAGGGTGGATTTCGGTTTGATGTAGTGGTCATCCTACGGATAAATAATATTCAGTGCACCCTTTACTATGTTCACAGTACACATACTGACTGAGCTACGGAGAGCTACAAAGATAATACCATGCGCCATAGACGCCACTGCTCTTGATCTTGTACTTCTGTTCATCGTGATACCACTTAATCGGTTTTTGTGATAACAATTAAATTAAAGTAAATAACAGTGTTAGATGTCCCCAGGAAACATCAAGTTACCTGCAGAGATCGTCCAATACGCTGGAGGGTATCTCCACTCTTTTTGTTTCCATGTTGGTGCCAGACATCCCGATTCCTTCTCACCATCCAAGTACAAAAGCCATTAGAGTCGCACACTAGTCCATGGTTTTTAGTTTACGTTCTATTTCTAGTGCGATAAATCTCCAGCTTCAAACAAACTAGGAACGAGCAGCTTTCACTAACTACGAATTCGCCGTGCTCCTCCGGAATATGATGTTGAGGTTGCGTTCAAGTCATGTAGGATAGATGAAAATACATTGAAAGATAGTGGTTTGGAGAAGTGACGGGTACTAATTCAGCTGTGTGACTGTGGGTGTAAGAAAAACAAGTTTTTGTTTGTAGATGAAAACACTACACATTAATATTATACACCAACACAATGCCCGCTGAATGTGAGTTTATTTACACAGAATAGTGGACCTTTCCTGATTTGTGGTATTTCGAATGTTATATAAAAAAAATTTGACTCTCACAGGAAACTCGGACTCTCCCGTGATGCCAACGCGAACGCCATGTACAAATTAGAAGTTTATTATTACAACACCTTGAAATAAAATGAACGCCACGTTAGTTCACAACCGGATGTTCGTCATTTGGCTTCCCTTTCGGTCACATGATGAGCTCAGTCTGACGCATTTTTTTTCTTTCAATGAACTTTATGTGTCAACAACAATATAAACATATAAGGCACCGTTATTAATGCATCTATTCGGTTGAGCATTACAATAAGAGAAAAAGAAACACCAAAAAAAAGAGAGAAAAAACAAAAGAAAGAAACAAGACAAAATTGAGAGCATAGGTACAAAAAGTGTTAACAAAAAGGGAAATCATGATCAATATCTCAGATAGGGAGGCCTCCTTTTAACATAAACTGAACTTACTGAATAATACAACAACTTAGCGGGCTTTTTTGTCATTTACAAGTTTCAGCGACTTACTCCAAAGTTCTGCAGCATGGGTTAGTTAGTGATGGGGTTCTTGTGGCACAACTCCAAAAGAAGAGCTGGCTCTTTTGGGTCCCAAGTGGCTCTAAATTTAAAAAAAAAACAAAACCATCTGTAGCCTCATATTTTATCTTTAATTGGCAAATATGAATGCTTTGTGTTTTGATAAACCCTTTTGCATTAAAATCAAATGCCTCAGCTTAGATGGGCTGATTCGGTTTCTCCTCTTAGTTAGTATCTGCTTCTTCTTTAAACTGCAGCCAGATGCTACTTCATTTACAGTTGTCAGTCATATGAGTTTTTGCGATGCACTTGCACCGTCTCACTCACTGACTAAGGGGTAATGACATGAGAAGCAACCCTGAACCACAACACTTTTTCCAGTTTAAAAAAATGAAATATAAAGTTCACAGATTAAAAAAAACTGTAAAAATTGATACTTCATTTCATGTTGCAGGATCAAATATGAAAATATCAATATCTGATTGGATTAAATTGGTTTTCTCACTCATAGTCTTAGAGAGACCAAGACTAGTCTTCCCTGCACCTTCTTCACATATGATGGGAGGCCAACTGTGTAGATAGTTGTTAAGCTCTGAGGTTGTTTACCATAACACCAGGATCTTGTCCTGCTTCAGACAGGCTGTAAATACACTGGGGTCAGCATCCACTGACCCCACTCTGTGATGTTATATGGCCTACCACTTTGGGAATGACAGCAAAATAATTCAGGATCACAGACCACTGTTTAGCACAGTCCTCAATAATAATTATATAATTACTATATAACATCTGTCTTTCTTTTAGACCAATGACTGTCCAATAACTCCAGGGGTAACAGAAAATGAAAAGAGAAAATATTCAATAAGTGATCCTTGCTTATATCCAAGATCAAAGAAGACAGCCAGATTGCTTTGAGAGGTGAAAGCACAACTGAGAAAACCTCGTGGGTTTTTGTTTCCATTGTATGTTAAAATAAAATAATAAATTTTGTCCAAATCAAATAGATGAGGCACATGTAATAGGAAAAAAGAATATAAGTTTAATACAACGTGCAACAATATATACACATTAACAGCATATCAAATATTACAAAAAGAACAGTGATCACACGAACACATTAAATGTATTCTGCAAAGTAAAACCCCTCACTAATGTTTACAAAAAAAGCGGGGGGAATGAAAAAGCTTCTGGTTTCATTGGATGCCGTTTGTTTTAAGTCAACGTGTGAAAAGGAACCAAACCTCAACTCTCCACATTGTAGCATACAATTAGAAAACCTTTAATATAACAGTTGTAATTTAAACTAAATCAAAATGAAACAAATGTATTTCTGTTATAGGATTAAGAATTACAGATTATCCACCCCACGGATCCTCCGGGCTAGCTGAATGTCACGAGGGAATACAGTGACTCTCTTGGCGTGGATGGCACACAGGTTGGCATCTGAAAATATCAAGACGAGAAAAGCCTCTGCAGCCTGGGAGGACAAGAATGTAGAAAAGTTTGATTGGCAAGCTTTACTATGGCTTAATAGGAATATGTAATAATTACACAATATACACAATAAATAATTACATTATTTAGTTAACAAAAAGAAAGCCAAACAACACCAGCGACAAACTTGGAGAGCAATTGTTGCTGTTCAGAAGTGGGTTTATAAAAAGAGTTGTAAGGCCATTTCTAAAACAAGTCCATCAATGTACAGTGAAAAATATTATTCAGAAATGGGAAACATTCAAGGCAGTCACTAATCTTACCAGGAAATTTAACCCAAGGTCAGACTATGTAATGCTTTGAGAAACTATAAAAAACCCAGAGAGCTACATTTCACTCTTAAAAAAAGCTCCTAAAATCCTCAGTTACAGTTAGCACGTTACGTTTGAAAAAGACTGGACAACCGCATATCAGGACAAACACCTTATACCAAACAAAAGTATAACATGTAACTTTTTGCCAAAAGTATTGAACAAAGGCTGTGAATACTTATGTACATGTTTTTGTTTTTATTTTTAATAAATTTGCAAGAATTCTAAGCAAAAATTGTTCACTTTTTCATTATGAGATGTTGTGTATAATATTTTGAGGTAAAAAATGAATTCAATCCATTTTGGAATCAGGCTCAAACATGATAAAACTGTAACAAGTGAAGCACTGTGAATACTTTTCTGTCACAGTCACCTGTGTGAAAAGGGTACATAAGCTATCAACTGATCCCCACCTAATGGCAGTATGGCGATCTAAATGGCCTTATTTAAGGCAAAAAAACCCCAAAACAAACAAAAAAAACAAACAAACACTGCACACCATCACACTTGTAGTTCTAGGTAAATGTATCAAATAGACAAGTGAACATTACAAGTGTCCACAATTCATCAAAAGGCTAATGGAGATGGCGTCTTACCTCTTGGAGGGCCAGAAGAGCATAAACCTGCCATCGAAGCCTTTCTCTAGAAAAGCTTTGGCACACCTCATGAACCTAAATCAAAAGGAAGAACCAACATCTTTTTAAGAAACAGAGGCTTCAGTCACATAGAAACCCCCCCCCCACACACACACACAACAAACACACAAAAAACCCTCTAGACAGTGATGCTTTTTCAACACCAACTATATGAGTATGTAACTGATTTGTTAAAAAAACAAACAAACAAACAAACAAAAAAAAAAAACACAACTGCACATGAACTCAGAAATGTTGGCACATGTCTGCCGTAGCAGTATCCCCTGAATGAGATGGTGGCCACCAGAGGTGATTACAGCTGTCAAGCTGAAGAAGGAGCACTGTTCGGACTTTGTTTGCCTGCCGGACTCCAGAGACAGCTGACAGGTCCTGACATCCCAAGCAGAGTCCAGCTCTGGTAGTAGCTGAAGCAAAAACTTGGGTGTGAGAGAAGTTCCCTGCCTGATCTTTGTGTTAACACTATTATTGCTAGCTCTTTAAAGGTGAAAAATTAGATTGCAGACACAAGCGGCAAATATGATCTTTTTTCAAAATGTGGCTGGGTTTTCAGGCTTTAGAGTTCAGTAATTTGGTTTGGTTCAGAGTAGAGCCGCTGATCCTCCACGACGAAAGAAGCCAGCTGACGCAAGCGCCTCCCAGATAAAGTATTCTTACTGGGCAGCCCAAAACCTCTGCTTTCATAGAGGCGCTCACATTTCCTACTGATCAGTAAATCAAGTGCATTTGATTAGTAACACCTGGCTGTTACTTTGTGCATAGGCCAACAATACTGGACCTGGTGAAATGTGGCTGGTATTGGACAGCACCACAGGCCCTGGTGTAATGTGGATTGCCTTAACAGGGAAAGTAAGTTCACCATTACTTCTTCCAGTTTTTTCGCAGGACTCTATGCGGTCCTGCATCATATGTACAGTCCTTCATTTGACTGTATGCATTATGCAGTTAATTTATTTTTTATTTAATAACTATTTTTTGTGCCTGCAGGTCATTGAGAGAATCGACTCTGATGGCACCAAATGCCCGAATCCTAGTCCTAGATCAGCCCCAAAGAGGACAAGACTAAAATTCCCTCGTGTCCTTCAAAGAGATTATAGACATTGAATTGTACAAAAGAATCAGCTCCTTTTATCTTGGTTCTTTTTGCTGCCAGTTTCAGCCTCAATTCTGTGAACACAGTAAAGATTATTTACATGCTATCATCGTGAGGATGGAGACATAGATTTTGTACCGGACAAGTAGATATCTATAATGGTTATTAACATTAAGACCCGAGTTAAGAGACAGAATATATGAGCATATTTGTAATTACTGTAGTTTCTCTTTCTCGTACTTCCAACAATTAAAAGGCATTGAAAAAAAAGAACACTTCTATTGATTCAACTATAAAAATAAATAAATAAATAAATGAATAAATAAATAAAGACTCCCAGTGGGTAAAAAGTGACTTTATCTGTGTCTGGTCTGCTGTTGTCAGACTCACCAAACGGGCAAAGGGCGCCTTTCTAAGGAGGAGATCTGTGCTTTTCTGGTACTTGCGGATCTCCATCAAAGCTCTGGTTCCTGGTCGAAATTTCCTCTTCTTGGGGGAAACAGGAGGCTGTCCTAAATCCACAAATACATTTTGTTAGCAAGACAATTAAGTAAAATCTTTGATAATCAAATAAGCCTTTGATTTTAAGTGCTGAAAAGTGTGTGTGTGTGTGTGTGGGGGGGGGGGGGGGGGGAGCGGTCTTGCTCTCACACACACACACAAACTAGATTAAAAGTTACTCTAACCTGGAACTCCACTGCGACTTGGGGATGTTACACTGGAGGTCCTTTGGGCTGTTACACTGGAGGTCCTTTGGGCTGGCACTTGGGGGCGCCGTTGAGGGGTTTTACCCTTCCGACGGCTGGCAGATAAATTATGACGCATTGCTACAAATGTACAGGCACAATTACAAAGGGAATAACACCAAGGTCACAATTTAACTATATCAGATTAGGGACATTACTAGAGGCACAAAAAAACAAAAAACAAAGAACAAACTTTCAAGTTTCCTTTTCAGTCAGTAACTGTACTTATTATTTTATCAGACAAGGTAAGCAGTTATTTTGTTTTCATTTTATTTAAACTTTATTTATCCAGGTAAATAAAGGTATAGAGGGAGGTATAGATTCACCCTCTCTTCTGATAAAACAGCTTAAAAGGCCTAGAAAAGATCATCAGATTACAGAAGAAAATGCTCGGTAGATTGATTTTGTCTCAAATGCATTCAAAGTAAAAGGGGAAGTGTGGCTTACTTCAAATCACAGATCATTAGAAACATCAAGCTACCTTGACACATGAGAAGCAGCTCTTGTTTGCAAAGGTACTCATGCCAGTGGAATACGTCATTTTATAACTGCTTGAATGAGAAGGGAAAGCAGGACATGTGCCAATCTTATCCAAGTGTGTCAAGTCTTTTTTCCCCCCAGACACCAACTACTTCAGCTCCATCTTCAAAAATTACTTTCTCAAGAATACACCAACAGTCAAAAGTCATTTAATGTTTTTTGTTCCTAGGATCTGCTGGAGCCATTTGCCTAGCCTAGCCTGGAGTTCACTGCTCAGATTACCACTGTTACCCTCATCGTCCACATCTTCTCGAGTTCTTCTCTCAGCCCTCAGTACCTCTCCAGCAAGTTCCTTCTTCCTGATGTTGCTGTCATTCAGTATAGCTACATCTACCACTATGGCTGTCTTCCTCTGCTATGTACAGTTGGTTAGCCATCACTAGTTTGTCCGTCTGTATCTGGAAATCCCATGGGATCTTAGCTTGGTCATTCTCGACCACACTAGGGTGGTCATTTTAACCTCGGGACTTGAGTTTAAAAGATGTTCCTGTATAATATGGGTGCCTGCTAGCATTTGCACCCTGCTGTTATGTGCTGAATTGTCTCAGGGGTATCTTTACACAGCCTAAACATGGGTTCTTGCCTGGTGTGACAGACCCCTGCCTCTATGGATCTTGTACTCAAAATTAAAAGCCTTGGTAATGTTCACTTCACAGCTAGTTGCTAGCCCATACAGACCTTTGCACATCAGTGGTTCCTTCCTACATTGAGAATCCAAAGCATACATAGCTAAAGGACATCTTATAGCTTAAACGTGTACTGCACACCTGGCAGTTGGCTTGAATCCTGGTCAAATCACATTCACACCATAAACAAACCAGGAGTTCATTTGGAAACGTACAGAGACCACCTTCTCCAAAGGGTCTCTGTGGGATTACTGTGTTCACACTTGCACAAATGAACTGCAACAATTGGGAAAACAAAACAGAGTTCCATTTAAATGGACTGAATAACCCATCTGTGAAAGTACCCTAACAAATTAGTCACAAAGAATATCCTTAGAATGCATCACAAACCAAATTTTAAAAAATGGATATAATCCATTTTGGAGAAAAAGCTGTTATACCATAAAATGAGGACAAAGTTATAGTTTTAAGTGGCATTGTTGTCATGCTCTGCACTGTCCCCCTTTTCTAATCTGACACAATTTCTTGTTTCTTATACAGTCTACAACATGCAATTCTGAGATCTTCTCTGGTACCTTCATTCAAGCAACTGTTTCAAATTACATTTTAGAAAAACAGAAAATTATGACACGGGCATTATAAATAAAGCCTAATATAACTATGCTGGGATGCTATGTCATATTCCTGCGAAGAATCACAGCGTTTTAAAACTACTGTATACAAGGAAATTGACAAGTTGCAGTCGCTAAAATACAAGCTACGCTATATAGCTAATACATAGTGTTGCTATAATATGAGCAAACAAATTTTATTAAAATATAGAGAAAGCTAGAGATAAGACCACCTTGATATAAAATATTTGATCTATTCGATCGAACCATTGGGTCCTGTTGCAAAAACTCGTTCGGAAATGGCAATAAAAAGGTAGTGAGGATTAACAATTTCAAATGGGTGACTAACTGACATCAAATTATCCACAAGAAATTGCACGGGGAAAAAGTATGAATGCCTTGTACAATATTTAGAGCAACATTACTCGGTTTCCACAGAGACGTCTGCTAAGGTCACACATGAAGCTTAAAAATAATAACGTGTTTAGTTTTTATTATTATTATAATTATTATTTCTCCACAAAATAAAAGTTTCATGCACGACTCGTACGGCCAAATGGAACAGAAGGTCCTTGCTTTGCAGATTGTTTATCTAAATGACATGTTCTAGGAGCTATTACACGTGAACAACAACACATTCACCCTTGAAAATGTTTCATTAGAAAAGTAAAAATAATAGTACACGTACCTGTTGGGTTCAACACCACTTCTCAACTTGAAATACTCGAAGCCGATATAACTACCCGAAAAGCTACAAACGCCACACACTCCAGACTGAAATTCAAATAACGCCCCCCGCAGGCTCAGCCAATCAGCTTTGATCCAGCTTGCGGGCCAGATTCTTCTTCGTCTTTTCCCGTTTCACGTATGGCTCACAACTTGCGACACACGCCTGCTGGCCTCTACTGTTTATATCCAAGTTCCCTTTGAAACTTACTGAAATGTTACCACTATAAAGCTATTCGGTAATTTTTGTTCATTGCCATTTTAGGCTAGTTAATCCAAGATGAGCAAGGTTTTGAAATTGTTGTCCAGCCGCTCACAAGTCTTTAATCAGTCTCTAAACTCTTCTGGTGTGCATAATACCAGTAAAAGAGATGTATATCTTTTATTAAAATAAAGGTAAAAATAAAATAAAATTCTTGCAGTGGTAAAGATTGAGTCGTCATACTGGTTTTGAGCTGTCCCTCTTATACTTGCCTACCAGATGTTTTCCATACAGGACAAGCCCTGTCTTAACTATTTGATACTCAAAAATTAAAGAAAACCTTTATTCTTCTTTTATAAACTATGCTCTTAGAATCAGAAAGTATGTACACAGTTTCTGCATTTAGATTTTGTTCCTTTAATTTTTGTACTGGAATCAATTTTCCAAGTATTCTGCTCAGTTTCTTTACCTAAATTATTCATTACAGAAGTGTAATCTGAAAGTGGGTGTTGTTGGGCAATTTGTATTCTTTTCTCATGACACAGCATTTGTTGCCAAGTGATCTACAAACTTGTCCCCCTGTAAACTGCATGTGGTGATGCATAAAAAAGCCATCTCACTACCTGCTTAGTAATATCTGTGTGATAAAGCTCTAAAATTGTATCCGTTTGGGACTTGGATTTTATTTCTCTTAAAATAGTTAAAGCTATTGTCGACCACTAAAATAATAATTCCTGTGTGTTTGCTGTGAATACCCTTACTGTGATCTGATCTTCCATGTACTTTTTCAGGATTCATTAAATGTTGCTCACCCACTTTTTGGATCCTTTGGTGGATATGTGTAAATCAGTGAGTGTGCATTGTCTGGAGCTCTTTAGAGATAACCCTTTGGAAGCTATTGTTAAAAGACAGAGAAGTGTGTGACATAATACTCTTCAGATTATTCAATAAATAATCAAATATATACTATAAAGCATAATGCTGTGACATTATAAAGCTCAGCAATTAGCAATGCATGAAAATAAGATTTTATTGTGTTTTCACAGACCAGTAGGTCACCAAAAGTGATTTTTAATAAATTCCTTAATAATTCTTTAGACAACGGATCATGTTCTGCTATATATAGATTTTTTTAGTAAGAAAAAGAAATAGTTACCATCTTCCAGTATTTTTCAGCAGTAGTCACTAAATAAATTTGCGAACACTAATCATTTAACAAGGTTTTTTTTATTCATCCTATTCTACTGAATACATTTTATTCTAGCTGAAAAATGCTGCTGAATTTCATTCAGTGTCCATAATCTGAACAGATTCATTGACCACATCCAGGGACAGGGGTGTCACAGTTTTGGTCAGGACAGCGGTGGTCCCAGTCTTATACCTGTACTGCCCTTCTCTGAAAAGAAAAGACAGAGAGAGAGAGAAAATGTAACGCATTAGATTTATCTAATTGGATTTGGATTAGATATTTCCTAAAGAAGAAAAACTGTCAGGTCAGTTTCAGATTTATCCACACATTCATGCCTATATTAAGCAGAATTTAGTGATCATATTAGTCTTTTTGTCCTTTATGAAAATGCCCATGTGAGTGCTCTGATTATGTGACCAGCAGATTAACAAACGAAAAAACACAAATTAACAGTGTAATAGAATAATGGCTCACCTTTTTCCCTTCGTTGTGGGCTTGTCATAGCCACGCAAATATTCCACTCCAGCTTCAGTGATGACACACAAGTCGACGTTACTGCCTGAACCCAGGTCACAGAAAATCCCTGCAGCGATGGCATCTCGTACTAGCTGCTTCGCCTCTTCCAACTGAAGACATGTTATTAAATTTCATTCAATTTATATGTCTTTCCGATTCTGTGGACATTATTACTTCAATTTGTTTATTCTTAAAGATTTGACTCTTTATTTAATTACCTACAGTATGTCATAAGAGGGAACATGACAATGCCTTACCTCCATATTTGGTTTGAACCTGTCCTCAAATACAGAGACAGCAGCTGCTGCTCCAGATCCTAAAATCAGAGCCAAACATTGTTATTATTACTATTACTGTCACTGTCTGTTGCTAGGCAAAAGTATTTTCATGTTAATAATGATAATTTATGACTGAAAGTTGGAATGCTGTATGAAGTATTAAAAAAACAGGATGCAACGAGCTGAAAAAATGATTTGTATAAACTAAGAACATGTATAATTTTAAGAAATATATTATAATTTTTAATGGAGCAACACATCACAAAATGATAGATTCAGAATGCAGTTTAGCATCGTCTTGCTGAAATATGCAAGACCTTTAAAAAACATCATCTGGATGGCGCTTTCCAGATGTACAAACTACCAATCCCATCAGAGATGCAGCCTTTATAAACGAGATAGATAATGTTTTTCAAACATGTAAATATATGTAAAATAACAAGAGATAAGAAAAACTTAAAAACATCAAGTTTTCATGAATATCTCTATGTCTACACAATGTTTATGCTCATAAAGGAGTAGGGTGAAGTTTACACTTTTTCTGTTCCTTCCGCCTTATTTCAAATTCCATTATTTACAAATCAATATTCACAATTCGACATTATATGATCCACACATGTTTGACTGTATACAAGTCTAGACTCATATACAACACATAAACATACACACACACAAAAATTTCAGCTTGTAAACCAAAACACTCTTGCCTCAGTCTATGAATTTGAGGACAAGGCTTCAACAGAACACAATGAGAGGAAATTTCCTATATTCACGCAATTTATCATTTATTAAACAATCACATGAATTTTTGTATTGATGTCTTTTTCTTAACTTCATTTGTACAGGAGTTCCACACACTAACTGTTGTGACTGTAATGCTGTGACATTTTACATTAGTCCTAACTGGCTTGCTGAACATAAGGATTCTTCCCAGGTTATGAGTATTTGGTCTTATCTGGAAAAAGTTCTGAATGTTGTGTGGCAAAGTTTACTTGCTGCTTTGTACATTGTACGGTTCTGAGGTCACCCAAATCCTTAAATCTGAGAATATTCAGTTTAATAAAAAGTGGATTTGATGGTTCTCTTGAGGTGGTTTTATTTATTATCCTTATTGCTCTTTTTTGCAGAATTGGATGGGTGTGTGCTTTATGCGTGTTTCCCCACACGTCCACACAATATGTCATGTACGGGAGTATCATAGAACAATAAAGAGTATATAATGCATTTGATTTATACGATCCTTAACCTTGTAGAGAATTGCCAGAGAATTGCCATGTTATTTATTGTCAGTTTACTATTGGTCGAGTGTGATTCCCAAATATTGTAAATTTTGTTCTACTCAGGTTCAATATTAATTTATTATAGTCAAACCAGGTCTTCAGATTATTTAGTTCATTTTCTAGTTCATTCAGAAGTTGTTCCAAGTTACTTCCACGGCACAGTAATTTTGTATCGTCTGCAAATAATATTATTTTCAAAGACTTTGAAATTGCACACATCTCATTAATGTACAATATGAAAAGCAGTGGCCCGAAAACTGACAGCATATTCTTTGATTTCAATAGCAGTTGTTACTGTATCTATAAACTTCATTAACGTATGTGTTGTGGTGCTTTTGCATCTAATCTGCTATTCATTGTTTTTTGTGATAAACTCATACAATCTATTTTAAAAAATATTTTTCCAGTATCTTAGAGAACTGTGGTATTAAAGAGATGGGCTGATGGTTTGCGAGAATATGTTTATCTCCAGCTTTATATATTGGAACTAACTTTGCAATTTTCATCTCAGGGAATACACCATTCTGTTATGACAGATTACAAATGTAGGTAAATGGTTTCACAATACATCCAATAATACCTTTATTTCAATTCATAACAATGCCATCACAGTCAGTTAGTTAATTTTTTGGAGTTAAAGGATGTAGCTACATAAATAATTTCCTCTTCATCTACTCCCCTTATAAACATTGAGTTTGCTACATTAATAGTTTTAGTTTTAGGAGCATGTCCAGCTTTTACAATTCCTTAAGCCAAGACAGGATCAAAATCAAGAAAAAAGTCATTAAAACCATTTGCAATTTCTTTTATGTCACTGATCATTGTATTTTGTATTTGCAAGTTATTTTGATATTCTAATCCCTTAGTTCCTTTATTTACAATGTTATTTAGTATTGTCCACATGTTTTTCATGTTATTCTTATTTTCATCTAAAACTTTACTGTAGTCATTTCTTTTGCTGCTTCTTATAATTTTTATCAATTTATTCTTATACCTCTTATAAGTTTGTTCAGCTTCTATTGTTCTTTAAAAAAATAAAATTATACAACAGAGTTTTCAAATGCCACGTCAACATCTTGAACATAGATGTTACTCCAGTCTTGGCTGTTGAGGCGGCAAATTGCTTCTTGTGTTTTATGTCTAATTAATTTCTTATTAGGTTCACATCTGTTAATCCTGGCATAGTTCTGTAATGTTGCAAAAACTGGTAGATGGTAACATATGTCATTTATTATTAATCCACTTAAAACATTCCTCTCAACAGCATTAGTGAAAATATTATCGATAAGTGTAGAAGTTATCGGTTATTCAGGCTATTCTTGTTGGACGGGAGATTGAGGGATAAAGACATAATGCTAGACATTGTATGTGTGATGGCTGCACTTACAGCCACACAGTGGTAATGGCCACCATATTAGCGTAAAGGCTTATACATAACACTGCATTCACATTTGTCTTTAAATATAGGAATTAATTTACAGGACAATGAATAACTGGTTTTGGTTTAGAATTAATTAACATATCCACATAACACTGCATTCTAAAATAAGTGCGCACATTTTAGTTTTAGTTAAGTATGATTAATCTTTGATTTTTGAGTTACCTTAGTTGCAGCTGCTCCAGTCCCTTGATTGAGGAGCCAAGAGGTGG